TTGCTTACACAGCTGTTAGAGGTCTCAATTCAAGAATTCAATGTAAAGCCATGCTTTATATCCATTTTAGGAAGAAAGTGCACCATGCCATTTTGATAAAGTAGCTTTTTGCACAAAACTTGTTCTTGAGCCTCGCAATTGTTTTCTTCTGATCATACATGTCCTATAACTCAAGAGAAGTTTGTCTAAACACTTATAATCACTCATCCCATGCTTGTACTTCCTCTTGGAACCATACTTCCCACTTTTCTTTAAAATCAAGTAACATAGCAATCAACCTATGTTTTGTACTTCTGACCCTCTCAAGCAGAAAAACCCTTCTCATTACTTATGTACAAGTCATTTGCCACAAATCACACGCATGCTTGAGCCCTGAAAAAAGCAAGAACATAGATTTGCATCTCACACCTCCATTGTTGCATATTCTGGCCAGAAATCCCAAAACTAAAAACTACTCGTGCGGTTCTTGGCTTCTTGCTTCCAAAAACTTCCGAGCATCATACGCAAACAATCCCATACCCTGTTACAGTTCTGTAACACCATCTTCCTCCATTTCCAAATTCAAAAATAGAGCACTGCAAGTGGACTTCTCTAGACCATTTCAACCATTCTCCAACCAAGCTAATCATTGCATTAGCTTCCTGGGACCTCAATGGAGCTATTCTGATCATCACAACACCTTGAGGAGTGCTCAAACTCAGAATACAATTTCCAGTTTTGAGGTAAGTTTCCTTAACTTTGAATTCTTCATACAAGCATCATTAATGGTTTATTTGTGAATGAAAAATATAGATATCATTGCCCTAAAGCTAACCATGTTCATAGTTTTCATTTATGTTGCTTGAGCTTAGAAAATTTTAAGATTGAAGTTTCTGAAATTTTTAGGGTTCAAATTAGGGCCATTAAAATTCATACTTGTCTTTGATCTATAATTTTATTGCTTTACATTTATGAAATCGTGAGGAAATTTGCCACAAGATTCATGTTTACACTTTTGCAAATGGATGAGAAATGAACAAGATGCATGTACTCTGGCTGGGCGTGAGGTTGAAGATGAAGTTCAGGCCATGGACTTGATTTCTAATATATATTTATTATTTTGTTTATATGAATGGATGTATAGCTACCCTAGTGGTAAAGCGCGCGCCTGTTAACCTTTGTGACCTGGGTTTGAGCCCCAGTGGCACCCTTTTGCTTATTTTCTCATTTTTCTCACATTTTTTATGTTTGTTTGCAGCGCTGGGCCCCCTGTGTTGGACCTAGTATTTTTGCTCATTTCATACTCCCTGCTCACTATTCACACCCCTGACCCATTTTATTTTCCTTTTTCTCTTTATTTATTTATTTGTTTTCTTTAATATTTTATTTAATATTAGAAAAATCAGAAAAAATATAAAAACATTAGATTTATATTTTGATATAATTTATTTATTTTTACAATAAAAATTATTTTTATTTAATCATACTTTATCTATTTTACTAATTGATTTGTAAATTTAATTCGAAACTAGGGTTTTAATTATTTCTTTTACAATTAAAAAATATTCTTTAAAAACCAAAAAGACCAAAAATATTTTACCATATATTATTTTCAAGACAAAAAGACATTAAAAATATTTTTCTTACAAACTTAATTTCTTTTTCTTTCTTAATCAATTAATATTTAGATTAGGATTTTATTTAATTTTCTTTTTCTAATTAATTTATGTTTACTTTTACTAATTTAACTAATTATTTACTTTTAGTTAATTAGGTTAAAACCAAACCCTTTCCTAAAAAAATCCAAACAAAAATCCATTTTTTCTTTCCATTTGCATTCTTGTATATTTATTCACTTTTGTACATTATTTATTCAAATTCAATATGGTTGTAATAGATAATTAGGTTTATTTTCTTGTAATCCTCATTTTTAATTTGTACACCCCCAACAAGTATTGTAATAGCGTAGTAATTTTAAATTTTGCAATTTATCGCTTTATATACAAATGCTAGTAATTAGGGCTTTGTATGGAAAGACTAAAACCAATCAATTAAAAAACCATAATCAAAGACAAAACCAAGCATGAAAAACAATGCACTTGCACACAAGCACCCCTTAGGATAAATCCACTTGGTTGCCTTACAAAATGGCCATGATATGCATGTGAGGTATCTTAGCAAAAACAAGCAAAATGCAAGATCATAGTCCCTCGATGACGCTATCCATGTTGCCTTTCAAATGATCTTATTCCCTAAAGAAAAATGCTAAGATACCTTGAAACATTGCTAATCATGGTTATACGATGACCCACGCCCGTCCCGTTCACATCCAAAGATAGGGTTACTTACCAAATCAATGGTAAGATAACAATGTCAAAGGAAAAAGGAAATGAACATGACAGACTTTTGAGTAGGTAGAATGTTTCTAGTTACTTCCTCAATTTCAAAACCAAAAACACCCTTGCTATTTTCAAAAACAAACACCAACACTTTCAAAAACATATTTTAAAACTTGAAAACATTTTCAAAAAGATCAACACTTTGTATACATTCTTACGAATGAGAATCATTACAAAGTTTGCCTAAACGAAGACGCCTTTTCAAAATACTTTAAAAAACCACACAAATCACATTTTCAAACAAAAGCAAGTGATCTAGCAAGTAACTAAGAGCCCATGGAAAATCATGGATGAAAAGGATGCTAATACCTTCATTTTTCATAATCTACCCCCCTAACTCAAGAAACAATCTCAAAGGTCTTTCCTGTGCTTTTTCACCTTTCCTTTTGGATAAAAGAAAAGTCGGTGACGACTCTTGCTAACTGCAACATTTCCGATAAAACGCAAAACACCCAAGTCAGTTCTCCCACCGTATCACAAATTCTATCTCAAATTAACTCCAGAAATTAAAAGTAAAGTGAAATCAATGAAAAATTATAGAACAATGGAAATAAGGTTGTAATCCGTCTCTCTCTCTCTCATCTGAAGCCATCTGAAGGCAATGAAAAATGTCATCTGAAGCCACTATAACCTGTCTCTCTCATTTCAACCCTTCTCTCTCATTCAAAAATGCAGATTAATGGAAATGAAACAAAAAACGAAGGTGTAACGCGGTTCAATCTCATCTTCTTCCTATTTTTCGATTTCCCCCGTTGTTTGTTTTTTTTGCTATGTTCTTGATGTTGTTCTTAAATGTTTTTGGATGATATTATGTTAAGATGAACTTTTATAACAATATGATGCTATGTGCGTTTCTAAATCCGTGTTGTTTGTTTATGAAGAACAATAGTAAGAGTGGTTTTTTTTTGTGGATTTTGTGTTCTTTCCAATCACAAGGCTGACGTCGGATCAAAGAAGATCTAAAGCTTTCAATTGATGACAACCGGCTAATATTTCCTTTAATTTCTTTTTTTATTATAATTTTATTTCCACATCAGCATAAAGTCTATGCCAATTAAATTTTTTTTACTTTGACTAACGAAACTTACGGTAAGAACTAACATGACATTATTTTAAAAGTTAAAAAATTAATTTAAATTTTTTAAAATTTAAGGGACTAAATTAAACTTTAAAATAAAATTAATGGACAAAAAAAGATATTTTTTCAAAAAATAATAGTTAAAAGGTAATTTTAGATTCATACGAAATATTTTGAGTAATTTATTTAGAATTTAATTGATACATACAATCACTGTAAAATTATAACCGTTAATTTTTATTTTAATTATTTTTAAAATTATATTATGAATTATATGATATATTGAAAATGTTAAACCTTTTACACTAATAACATTACATACCAACTAATCTCATTAATAATAAAAAAAATTTCGTTTTCTCTATTCTATTTTGAAAAAAATATTTTAAATTTCAATCAATCACTATTATAAATTCTGTTATATCAAACTGCAAATTTTAAATTATTGACATAATATAACTGAATAATTTATTTTTATTGATTAACAATTATTTTATAATGATAGTGCATGACCATTAAATTCTTCTATTTTTTTAATTTTATTTTTCTTATATCAAATTTCAAAGCAATACACCAAACGCAAAACGTAAAAGATTTGCCAATTTAACCTAAGAGTTACATGATTTTCTTTGGTTGTCGTTGACAAGTTTAAAACATGAAGTCTTACATGATTTTAATAACATTTGGCTTCTTGTGTGTAGTGCTTATTAGGGATATATATACAATACAGAGATGTCACGTTAGTGCAATATATAGTAGCTTTTGGCTTTTGCTTTATCTAGAGGAAATTTCACTTATATAGCTCTACTCAATCAATCCCAACCAGCTTTCGCTTTTATGACTTGGATTTAACCCTTTTAATTGATTCAAGTCCTAATCAACTCATGACCTACTCTACTAAACATTAATAAGTTAGTTGAAATTATGGATGGACAAATTTGTATCAATCAATCGAAACTGACCGATCCATTATTTTTTTTAATGTAAATGGATCGGATCGAGTGTCAAGTTGATTCAATTGCTTAATTTAAATTATATAAGATTGATTCGATCGAACTCAGATAATTATTTTAGATTCGTTAGAAACCAAACCCGACCGAACTTAACTAATATGTATTTTTTATTTTTTATTACTATAGAGTCAAAACATTATAAAAATGAGATTCATAATATTTTATTATCAACTATGCCTATATTATCTCACAAATTGTTACAATTTGTTACTAATACTTGTTCTTCCTATTAATTAGTTTAGCTTTCCTATATTTTAGTTTAGCTCCCTTTAATTTAGCCTTTTCTTTTAATACTTGTATATTATATTAACCTCGATTCATTCATCAATAAATACAACAGAGAATCCTATTACTCTATGCACACTTTCTTTACATGGTATTAGCCTAACTTCATTTCTTTTTTCTATTCAAATGGGTGCCCTTGATTCTTCTTCACCTTATTATCTCCATTCATCAGACCAACCAAGTCAAATACTTGTCACACAACCTCTTAATAGCGATAACTATGCCACTTAAAACCGAGCCATTATCATGGCACTTGAAGCCAATTTTTTTTTTGGTTTTATTGATGACAATCTTCTTAAACCTGAACCTAACAATCCAAATTTCTCTCATTGGATCCGTTGTAACAATATGTTCCAATCTTGGCTTATACATTCCACTATTCTCACTATAGCCAATTCCCTCATATGGATTAATAGTGCTCGTGATATATGGCTTGATCTTCTTATTCGTTTTACTCAGAAAAATGCACCTCACATTTTTGAAATTCGTCGCGTCATTGCAAATATTTCTCAAGGCACCGAATCTATTGCCACTTATTATACTGAAATTAAAGCCTATAGAGATGAGCTTAATTCTTATCAAACTCTCCCTTCTAGTGTTTGCGGTGCTATACCAAATTTCAATGAGGTTTATGCCACTGGGTATCTTATGGATTCTTTACAAGGTTTAAATGATTCATATGCATCTGTTCGTAGCCAAATACTACTCATGGATCCCCTCCCTTCAGTTCCCAAAGCCTACTCACTTTTCTTACAAGAAGAGCGTCAACTTTCATTATCTGATTCACATTATGTGTCAATAAATCAATCCGCCATGGCTGTTCAACAATTAAATTCCTCAAAAGGGACCGATTCTAAACCCAATTATTATTGTTCCATTTGCAAGGTTGATGGACATTCAGATACTCGTTTCTACTCAAAGATTGGTTATCCTTCTTGGTGGAAATATAATATTGGCTCTAACAAATCCCGTCGTGGTTCCTCTTCTCGTGATGGTCGCAGAACTGGACTCTCTGCATCACCAGATCATTCTAATGCTGCTATTATTCCAACTCTGGATTCTCAGTCTTCATCGAGTTTAACTCCAACTCAGATTCAACAGCTACTCTCTCTCCTTCAAAATGGTAATGGTCGGCCTCTTGCAAATTTCACAGGTACCTTACTCCAGTGTTTTTCTTCTTTTAAATCTTGTACATCCGTATGGATATTAGATTCTGGTGCCACTCACCACATGGTTTCTGACCTTTCCCTTTTTTAATCATACAATAAAGTCTCTATTTATGTTAAATTACTTGATAATAAACTTGTTTTAGCTCATCATATTGGTTCCATTTGTTTACATTCAGGTCTTGTAATTCAAAATGTTCTACATGTCCCTTCATTTCAATTTAACCTTTTGTCCATTAGTAAGCTATCTAAAGATACTAACTCTTGGATCACTTTCACTCCTACTTCATGTTTATTACAAGACCAGAGGACGAAGGGGATTATTGTGATGGATGAACAACTTAAAGGTCTCTACACCATGGTAATTCTTAAACAAATTCCATCCCCACTGCCTTATTTAGCTCACATTTTGATTTATAGCACTGGCGCTTAGGACATCCAGCCCCAACCTTATTTCCATATCTCATTAATTTAGATACTAGCATTGAGTTTTCTAAGAAATGTACTTGCACTGTGTGCCCTTTGGCAAAACAGTCTCGTTTGAAATTTCCATTATGTTGCATATCTACTATTCGATATTTTGAATTAATTCATTTTGGTATTTGGGGGACCTTATACCAAAATCACTCTTCTGGTGCTAAATTTTTTCTTACGGTGGTAGATGATTTTTCTCGAAGTACGTGGGTATTTCTAATGCAACACAAAAGTGAAGTTAACACAATCATCCCTTATTTCTTTAAGCTGGTTGAAAAACAATTTCATACTAAAATCCAAAAAATTCAATCTGACAACACTCAAGCTGTGTTTATACTCCCCAACAAAATGGTGTTGTAGAGCATAAACATAGACATTTATTAAATGTTGCACGTGCTTTATATTTTCAATCCAACTTGACATTAAACTTTTGGGGTGATTTTGTACTAACTGCTGCGTACTTGATTAATCGTCTACCTATAAATGTTTTCAAAGGCCATACACCTCATGAAATTTTATTTAACAAAAAACTGAAACTTTCTCATCTTCGAGTTTTTGGCTGCTTAGTGTATGGTCACAACACACACATCACTCACAAATTTGATAAAAGTGCATCTCCAGGAGTGTTTTTAGGATATCCCTATGGTAAAAAAGCATGTAAAATATTTGATTTATCTTTAAAAAAGTTATATGTAACAACAAATGCAATTTTTCATGAAACGATTTTTCCATACAAGATGTTTAATGCTCAGATAACTGACTCACCCTTCCCTTTACCTTTACCACCTATAGATGACACAAGATCTCCGGCTTATCCTTTCATAGAAGAAGAATTACCACCCACTAATAAATCCACCCCCACAAACATTTCAGTTGCATCCCCTCCACCTTCAGACCATGTTCCACCTACACAAATAGAAATTTCAGTTACGTCCCCTACACCTCCAGACCATGTTCCACCTACACAAATAGCCTTGGAACCCGACTACCTTGAAGAACATTTAGTTAATCAGAACCCTTTGCCAAATATTTCTCGTCGTTTATCACACATCATAAAACATCCATGCCACCTTGATGATTATATATGCTCCCTCACCTCATCACAATCATCCTCTTCTCCAAATGATTATGGTATTCTTTATCCTCTTTCTAACTCCTTATCTTATCATTTTTTTGTTCTTCACATTGTTTTTTTCTTTCTTCAATAGCTATTGAAACTGAGACACAATCATACTCTAAAGCTAAGAATTTTTCGGAATGGCGCAAGGCAATGAAATCTGAGATTGATGTATTGTGTGAAAACAAAACTATGTCCTTAGTTCCTTTACCTAACGGAAAGAAACCAATTGGTTGCCGATGTGTTTTCAAAATTAAATGCAATTCTGACGATATCATCGAACATGTTGCACCCCAAAATTTTCCCTCTCATTTCTCAAGATTTTTCTCATAAAATTTCTACTGGGTCAAGACTGCACAAGTTTCCATGGATCATATTGGGCTCTCAAGCATGAAATCAAAGAAGATCACATTTTCTTTGATTCATAAGCTTCGATTGGGTATTTGATATCCTTCTATCAAGCTTTGGTTCACAAGCTTCGATTGGGCATTAGGTCCCCTTCGAGCAAGCTTTGGTCCACAAACTTCGACTAGACAATGTCTCCCTTTGAAACTGGCTTGCTTCGATTCAAAGAAATGGCCTCCTACTGGCCTGCTTTGATTCATAAAGCAGTGGCCTCCTGCATGCAAGCTTCGATTGAGCATTAGCCTCTTATATGCTTGCTTCACAAAGCAGTGGCCTCCTACATGCAAGTTTAGATTGAGCATTGACCTCTTACATGCTTGCTTTGATTCACAAAGCAATGGATATCTTCATACAAGTTATGTTTTGACAATGGCTATCTTCATACAAGCTTCGATGGGGTAATGTTTTCCTTCGAAGCAACCTGTTTCGATTCACAAGGCAAGTACATCCTTCAGGCTTGTTTTCGATTCACTAAGCAAATACATCCTTCATGCTTGCTTTCGATTCACAAGGCAAGTACTTCCTTCGTGTCTGCTTTGATCCACAAGGCAAGTGCCTCCTCTGTGCTTGCTTTCGACCCACAAGGAAATGGCTACCTCTATGCTTGCCTTCAATGCACAAGTCAATGACTTCCTTTCATGCTAGCACCCACAAAGCAAGTGGCCTCCTGCATGCAAGCTTCAATTAAGCAAAGACCCCTTACATGCTTTCTTTGATTCACAAAGAAATGGCCTCTTACATTGTTTGTCTCGATTTAGGAAGCAAGGGTCTCTCTCCTGCTTGCTACAATTCACAAGGCAGGAACTTCCCTTATGCTATCACCATAGGGTATTGACTATTTTAATACCAGCTTCGAATGGGCAAACATCTCCCTTTGAAATAGCTTACCTCGATTCAACCCTTGAAAACCTTCAATACACATAGTTTCTACACTATGACACACAATTGGTGGCCCGTTCGAAGGACATGCATTGGTGGATTTGAAGGACATACTTGGGTGTCCCATTCGAAGGACATGCATTGGTGGATTTGAAGGACATACCTGGTTGTCCCATTCGAAGGACATGCATTGGTGGATTTTAAGGACATACCTGGGTGTCCCATTCGAAGGACAAACAACTGGCACATTCGAAGAACAAGCATATGGTCAATTCGAAGGACATGCATTTGGCCCCTTCGAAATATACACATATGGTCTATTCGAAGGACACATTTTGGTTGGACACAAATATTGTTATCTGAAGAAGAGTCTGGTCGAAGGTTGGATCTATATGTTCAAAACAAAAGGGTGAAGTATTCAAGAAGCTTGCTGACCAAGGTCCTATATGTTGCAGAGCTCAAGCCCGCTGTACTGGCCACAACACTCCAAAACTACTGTAAAGTAGTCCTGCTATGTTGCTCCCATATTTTCACCAAATTAGTATACAAAAACTGCACCTCGAAGGCCATGAATACAACATACCCAATTTGTTCAAATGTCATTTGTTTTCCCCCTCAAATCTCAGCCAAACTCCCCCATAAATAAGATATTTCACAACATATTTAAGGGTGGTTTTTGAGTAGCTGAAGAAACTTTTATTGTGTGAAAAAATCATTAAACGCTCTCAAACTCTCAAACTCTCAAACTCTTACAAAAGTCTCAAACCCCTTCATACATTATTCAACCCAGAATCAAAAAATAAACACTACACCTTTGTTCTTTCTTTCGACTTCAAGTTTCCTTGCCCTTTGAATAACTTCTTTCCTTCCTTCGAATCCAAGAGTATTCAAGGCAGCAACTCAAGGTTCAAAACACCAACTCCAGATTCAAGGTAAGTCTCCTTGACTGTGAACCTTTCGTTTCAAGCATAACATGTAAATAACCTTTTGCTTATTTTTCATTTATACCATTTCGATTGTTTGCTTTTCTTGTCCAAATATATATGTTAGAGACTAACCTGTACAAGCCATATTAGCATAGTTTCGACCCTTATTGCTATCATGTCCCAAACGAAAGGAAACAGAACAAGATGTTTGAATTGAAGGGTGTGCTTTGATACACACTGATTTACAGACCCAAACGAAAGGAGAGGGAGTGTGAATCGAAGGATGCAACACTGGTTGCAAGCCCATTCGAAAGAAGGAAAATTTGGGAATTGAAAGACACATCCTTTAATCCAGGATGTCTTTCCTTTCCTTCTTTTACACTATTTTTGTCTTTATATTTCCTATATATTTACATTTTCTTGTTATTTAATATGGTTGTAGTAATTAGGATTTTTATTGCTTTTCAACCCCCATTTGTAAACTTGTATAACCCATCCCCCAAAAAATATTTAATAGCGTAGGGCATTTATTTTCCGTATTTTATTGCTTTCATAAATGTTAGTAACTAGGGTGTGTATGGAAAGATTAAAACCAATACTTAGACCACCCTAAATTCAAGACAAAAATGCATGCAATCAAACACACTACATACACATGCACCTATAGGGTAATCTCACTTGTTGCCTCAGAAAATAGTCACGTCCCTCGAATATGGGCGTTTTAGAAAAGACCCTTGATAAAAAGATTATAGTCCCTCGATGTCCCTCGATGTTGCCTTCAGTAAAACGATCTAGTCCCTAACGAAATTGCTAAAACGCCTCATAGGTTGCCTTCTATGACTATATAATTGACCCACGCCCGTCCCTTCACATCCGACGATGGGGTTTCTTATCAATCAATGGTAAGATAGCAACATCTAAAGGAGGAGGAAAAGAACATAGACCTTTTGAGTAGATAGGACACTCGTAGTTGCTTGCTCTTAAACTAAAACCATTTTTCACACTTACACTTTCAAATACATATTCAAAAAATAAACTCTCTGAACTATTTTCAAAACCAACACTTTGTACGCATTCTTATAGAGACGAGAATCATTACAAAGTTGCCGCAACAAAGGAATTTTGAAAAATACTTTCAAAACCCACCACAAGCACATTTTAAAATAAAGCAAATGATCTAGCAAGCAACTAAGAGCCCGTAGATAACTACATATGAAAAGGGGGCTAATACCTTCCCTTTTCATAACCTACCCCCCCGAACTCAAGAAAATATCTCTAAAGGTATTTCCTGTTCTTTTCACCCTTTCCTTATTGGATAAAAGAAAAGTCGGTGGCGACTCTTGCTATCCGCAACAATTGCAATCAAAACACAAAACAACCAAGTCAGTTCTCCCACCATATTACAGAACTGGCGACTCTGTTGGGGATTTGAAAGTGGGGTTGCCTTAGAGCTAGATCACATTTACTTGCTTTCCTTGTTTGACTTGCTTTCTTTACATTTTCTTTGGGTTCTTGTTTGGGTTATTGTTAAAGATCCTACACCCGGATTTAGTGAACCTTTTTAGGTAGGTGGCAATAAATCATGGAGGCTATACGGTGTAGACGGATATGGACAAAGTCATAGCCACGTTAGCGTGATACTCTGGTTTATACTAATGTTCCTTGAGTCAGTCAAGGATAATATTAGGCTTCCTTATAGTGTCATTAAGCGCTAACTGACCTTTAGAACCTTTAATTGACTCATCCCAAGCCATTAGAAAGTAGTTAGATGGACGACTTTGGTTCCGACCGAAGATTGGTTGATACTCAATGCTACACTCATTGAGATTGGAATTTTGGGATATTTTGGCCGCAATACTTCGGTGCTTGAGCTAAAACAATGCCTAAAAGAAAAGTCAATGATATGAGGCTCCTTAGAACCCGGTTACTTTCTAGAACAAATTGAGCAAACTAAAATTCAAGAGGGTACTTACCTTTAAAACTCATGCAAGCCTTTAAACCTAAGTTCTTTGTGTGACTTGTTTGACATATCTGTGATTTTAAAGCATAATCATAACATCATAAGCATCATAACATGTACGCTAACCATTTCAAGGGCATGTGGATTCATCTTTTTTTGTAGGGCATGGATTCAGATCACAAAAAAACCATCCGAATCAATTTTGTGGAGATCCCTCCTAAACTCAAATAAATGGTCTTAAAAGTTCCTGAGAGCTCATCATTCAACAAGAGATATGGTCACCTTCTCAGTTTGGTTACTACCGGTTTTGATGAAGATCTGATGAGTGTCCTATTCCAGTTCTTTGATCCTAAGCACCATTGCTTCATATTTCCAGACTATCAATTGGTTCCTACGCCAGAAGAATTCTCCAAGCTACTCAATTTGCCTATTTTAGAGCAGGTACCTTTCATTGGTTTAGAACAAGATCCAGCTTCTGAAAATGTTGCTGTAGCTTTGCATTTGAAGCCGTCTGACATTGAGTCCAATTGGGAAAGAAGAAGTGGAGTTAAGGGCCTCCTTGCAAATCTTCTAATGAAGAAAGCTCAGGTACTCCTGGACATTATGACTTACCATGCCTTTGAAGATGTCTTAGCTCTCTTGATCTATGGGTTGGTTTTGTTCCCCAATTCAGATAGTTCATAGATGTCAGTGCCATCAACATCTTCCTCACTCATAATCCAGTGCCCATGTTGCTCGGCGATATTCTGAATTCACTCCACACCCGTACTATAAAGAAATAAGGAACTCTTATATATTGTATGCCTTTTCTCTATAGGTGGTTTATTTCGCACCTTCCTCGGCCAATAATGAAGAATGAGTTAGGCTTAAGGTGGAACCAAAGGTTAATGTCTCTTTCTCACTTTGATATCTATTGGTGCC